TATTGAGTTCGTTTGGGGAAAAGTCGATCATTGCTCGGTTGGCGAAAGTCTCCTTTTATATGTGAAAGGTCCTCCGAATCCGACAAAAGACAGATCATCGTCCTTTTGCAATGAGGTCATATTCGCTGTGTCATAATGATGTCACATATTCATTGCGGGTTCAGCTCACCTCGTCTTAAGGCATTAAATGCGAATTTCTGGTTCGTTCGTACGTCTTTAGCCGGTTGGCACGCCTGCTAGCGGTATGGGTTGCGAACCGTTCACATTGTTTTCGTGTCCATACTTCTTTAGGCGAACTGAGCTGGTTTTCTAGCGAGCTGGGCCGACCAGTAAATGGGCTTCCTATGTGATAATGATCTTATTCCCGAACCGGACCGAGCATTGATGGGTGTTCGCAGTCCACCTTCAACACTATTTGCAGTGTATCCTTTAAAATCTCTGGAAACCGAATGCATTTCTCTGTGGTATAATTGCCATTTACAGTTCAAGATAAAATGATAAACCCCAAAACACATTAACATCAACATATGGCGAGAAAATAAAAGCTATCAAACTATTTATGATATATATATATATAGTGACACTACGTACTAACAATGGATTTTGTCTACTTTGCTTCTTAATTTCAGTTTCCAAACATCAAATCACACACTTTCAGATCAAAACAGACGAATAAAAATTAAAAGGAAAACAAAAACAAACCTACACATTTTCACAAGGTTTGTTACAGATTGCGTGGCCGTGTGGTAAGCGAAGATCGCATATCGACAATAGCAGATTTATCTGCACCAAGCTTCATTGCTTCTTTGCTAGCTCTAATGAACCGAGAAGTAGCTCCTTTGACATACTCATGAGCTTGTTTCACATTCATCTTCTTCCCAACTTCGTCGGGGAAGCTACTGAGGAAGTGATCGCCATTAAGCACCGCTGCAAGCTGAACCACTTCACCCTGAAACTCAGAAAGCGCTGCGTCTTCATTAGGCTCAGTGGCTCTCATGGGTGCAACGTCAGGTAGAGTCATGGGACAGTCTGTTCGAGGAGAGGTTAAGTGAGAAACCACGTCTTCGAAAGTAGCAGCCCAAGCATCTCTATGTGTTAAGTAATTGGAAGAGAGATTGAAAAGTTTCTTGATGGTCGCTGGTATTGATGAATGCTCGAACTCTGAGGTCTCTGTTGGCCCTTTAGCCTCACTCACCACTTCACTCACACAAATAATAAAATAAGATGTTATTAAACTATATTATAAAATAAATTAATCAAATAGGGTTAGAGTATGGTTGAAAACATGAGTCACGCGACGACGCCGACAAATTCTATTATACTTCTTGAATGGAATAATCAATAGATTTCAATTATTTGTCCACTACTATTAATGGATACAACCAAGGAGATATTAAAATAATGTTATATACTTTTCAAATCTATCCATGTGATTGGGTTTTTGGCTGCCTTGAATTTTGTTAGCAAATGTGAAAGGCTGTCGAAAATAGTACAGTAGAAAGTGGAAAATACATGAAACACACAGTAACACACATTACTTTCCTTTTTGGATATAAAAATAAACATTTTTCAAATTTAGCAATGGATTTTCTCCATGATTGGAAATGTTAAAATTTTGTGAAATAAGTTTAAAAGTACCCATTTTAAAAGGCTACAAATATTTATATTCATATAGATAATATATATATACACTCACAAGCCATAGAACTATTTATATATCAATAATTCATGTTCAAAACGGATTTTTTAAAACTATTAATTTGGTTTAAAAAACTATACACACTTAGAACAAAATTCTAAAACTATTAGAGAGAAATCTCCAATTAAAAAAAAAGAAAAAGAGAATTACCGGTTCCTTTCTGAATCCAAGGTGAAACCATAATGGTAGGAACCCGAACACCTAACCGGTCAAATTTAAAGAAACCAGGGGCCGGTCCGGTATTCCCATCCGGATTTGGTATACCGACAAAAGGAGTCTTCACATGATCATAGAATCCACCATGCTCATCATAGGTTATGACCAGGAGCGTCTCGTTCCACTGTGGACTCGACCTAAGTGTCTCGTACACTTCTTTAACCAGCTTCTGACCATTGGCCACGTCATGCGATGGGTGATCGTCATTGGCCGGTAAGCCCTTCAGGTCGAAATACCTCGGTTCGATGACGGTTAAGCTCGGTAAGTTTCCTTTTGCTGCGTCTTTCTTGAATTTCAGATCATATTGATGAAATTTGAATATGTACTTTAGTTGTCGGAGATTACGGTAGAACAACGTTGTCGGAATATTCTGGAAGTAGATTCCGAAATCGATGTCGTTGCTGTGGAGTGAATCGAATATTGTCTTTTGAGGATACCTGAAATCAAATGATGATACTATGTTAATAATGTCTGCCTTTTTTTTGATAATATGTTACTGTCAATTTAGCAATTACTCATTCGATATCTCATTAAATTTATTTATACTAGTTGCCAACTCGAAAATCTCAAAAGGTATGCCAATTAAGTAACTGTTACAAAAGTATTTGAAATGAAATTTTATTATACAGTGTCTGTAAAACGGTTACAACCCCAAGACATTCATTACAAAAATTAAAAAAAAAGTGAAATTGATTAAAAATAAAATAAAATATTTACTATTAATAGCATATGAAATAAATATTTCTAAAACTATGAATTTTTCTCATTCAATTATTCAAGACTTGTTATGGAAAATCCTCAAATACTAAATTCCCTGATTAATAAGTATTAAATTAAAGTACCAAAAAGAATGAAAAAAAAGAATGAAAAAAAAAAGAATGTAAAAAGGTGTACCCTTGAGCAAGCTGTTTCTTGACATGGCTTGTGGAACCATGTGAAGTAGCCGAATAGACAAACAACCGGTTCGGTTGAGTCGGACCAGGTATAGAAGAAAACCACCGGTCGAACACAGCGAATTCCTTAACCAGCTCAGCGTAAACCGGTACAGCTTCAGGCCTGAAGCCTTTCATGACAGTTTCCGACAAGTTCCCCGGCATAGAAAGCGCTTGCTCAACGAAACCCATCATAGACGGGATCTGACCCTGACCCGACCCGAACACCTGTCTCTCCACAGCTTCGAACGAATGACCCGGATCCGGATCCACAAACTCAGCATCACTAGTGAAACAAATGGTTTGTGTAGAATTTGGAACCGGGTTACATTCTTGACCCGTTACACCGTCTATGGAAGGGTTAACAGATTTCTTCATCCAGCCTAGGAGGTGATCGAAGGAACGATTCTCCATGACCAAAACGACGACGGTTTTGATTGGTGATTGCCATTGGTGGGATCCTTGAGCTACATGGGTCAGTGTGAGGAGACAGTAGAGTGTGAGAAAGTGTGAGGAAGCTGCTGATGGCTTCATGAATGGATTAGTTTTGTCAAGAAGATTTGATTCTGTGGTTTTGTTTTGCCTTGGGTTAGTTTAATAAAGAACATAAAGACAGTGGAGTGATAATGTCTCTTTGGAACAAAAAAAAGAAGAAGCAAAAGCTAAAGATAAAAGGAGGAAGAAAATCAAAAGATGTAAGAGAGAGAGAGAGAGGTAAAGAGTGAGAAGATTTGATTAAAACGAGAAGCTTGTAGAGAGCAAGAACAAAAGTTATGGCGTCTATTTACTGCTTTTATTTAGGTGGGCTCGCAATGTAAACGAAGATTCTGTTCTCACTGAGAAAATAACTAAAAACTCAAGAGATTTACTTCTTTTTTTTTCTGGTCAATGTAGTTCCGAAATTGAGGCTAATTTATCTGAAATTTGGAATTGCATATGCACGAGAAGACATAGCCTTGTGAAAACCACGTAGATGGCCATTTGTTTTCTTCTGTATGTTACATGTGGATTCCTAGAGTTCTTAGTTGTTTGGTTTATTTGTTAGATCTTGAGGAACGGTTTAATTTGTATTATTGCAACTTTTAAAATATGGATACAAATCTTAAGAATGTGTATACTGGAGTTTAATCTTTAACTCCGATTTAAAAAGCTATTTCAGGAGCTCGATTATAAATTAATCTGTACCAAGAATACTAACATATGCACTAAGTGCGTTTTACGAAAAAAAAACACCATAATGATAATTGCTTTTGGCTGATGTGCCCAATTGATCTTTTTAGAAAGGTTCGGAATTATAGAAATACACAGTGTTTAGTGCCTTCAATCCATAAATAAATAATTATATTTAGTGCTTGACATACACAAAACGATTAGTGCTCTATGTCTAGTGCTTATAATTTACCATATAATTGTTTTTTTTATTTTGTGACATTAGACGATGCTTAAGAACAAGTACATAAATTTCGCTTTTAGAACATTCAAATATCGCAAGAGAGTTTTTCCGAGAAAATGATTAAAAAATACGTGAAAAGAAAATAATAAATTGAGACTCTTACATAAATCATTTGAGAATTATTTTAAAGATGGTGAGACACTTCCATGACCACTTGGCCTTGTATAATTCAAAGGTTTTTTTATCACTAAATTTTAGTTATATGATAAAACTGTCTTAAATATTAATATTTTATGTATTTAGAGAAATTCACACATGCTGATGCTTTTTATAGTTTCAATAGCTACTAGTTGTAAGATAGTGAAAAAGAGATAAAAAGAAGAAGAAGAGTGATGCCAAAAAGTAAAAAATAACAAGAAAAGTTCGCTACTGAGCTCGTGAGTTCTGAACTCATCACGTCATACCAACCAACTAGATTTGGTCGTGTGAACACTGAATGCATTCATATGTACAACCATGAAAACTTACTAACTTTTGTCCTTAACTGATTTTTAAAATATATCTATCCCCAACTCACATTTCCTGAAAAGAAGAGAAGTATATGTCAGTGCCTGGGGAAACCCTACAAAGCGAGTTCGCCCTAGCGTTTCCTCTCAGGCACGATTTCCAAGGTGGCCGTCATCAACAAAAGCTTCAACTCCGATCTAGCATGGGCGTGTGGCGCCAGATCCTCTCCGTCGGTCTTTCATCCTGAGAAGCTATGCTTCTCACCCTCGGGACCCCTGCTGGGTTTACCCGAAGAATCCTCTCACCAGTAGGTGAAGACTTTCTGCAACTTAGAAGATTGCGTTCCTCATCTGGCTGTGCTTTTCCTTTAGACAGATCTGTTTCTTTGATGAGAAACTATGCTTCCAATGTTGTTATTTCTGATTTAAGTCTGAAGGTGAAGAGTTTAACTTCGAAGCGGTGTTCTCTAGAGTTGCCCGACTTTTCTCAACCACCAGAACCGCCTGACCCACCGGACCCTCCACCGGAACCACTGGATGTTCCCCCTTTGAAGACTCCGGCCTCTTTACCCCTCGACATGACTTATCCTCCCTCGCCGGCTATCTCTATAGATCTGTGGGGTGGAACTTTTCCGAGCAGATCTCGTAGTTCGCTTCTCCACCTGCCAAAGTCCTCTATCACAGCTAAGTGCCTCTTCCCTGAAAGTAGAGGCCAAAGGAATTGCAGGCAAGACTCCGACGAAGAATCGTCCGAGCAATACCGTTCCACCGACATTCCACTCTCCAATCTTCACGGTGATAAAACTATGGGCTTTGTTAAATTACCGGTATCTCCAACAAGTTCAAGTGTTTCTGTTCGCCATATTCAAAGTTTAGTTTGGAGTCATTTGTTGCTTGAAGATTGCAGTCCTGTAGTTTTATTAAAAAAAACTAATCAAACCTCCTCATGTCAGGGCCATGAGAGATCTTTATCCTCCATCCTTTTCTTTGCAGGAGTGAACTCTTCCACCAAAACTCCTCTCCAGGAGAGGTACTCTTCAAGCTTAACGCAGAGTCAATTTTTGCTTGAAGTTTGCAGTCCCGTTGCCTTGTTACAAAAGGTGAAGCAAACCTCCTCATGTTGGGACCATGAGAGATCGTTTTTCCCCCTTCCTCCTCGTTGTAGGAGAGAACTCTTCCATCAAATCGTCCTCACAACACTCAGCGACAACGACTTCGGTCTTATCGCCCCTAATGGCAGAAGCCTTGGCGGTTCGTTCAGCCATAAACTTTGCCCTATCTCACCGTTTCGACTTCGGTCTCATCGTTCTAGTTCGTTATTCATCGTCAAATCTCCTAACGACGCATTTGAGCTTTGATTCATTTTCGCTGTCTATCTCTTTCGATAATCTATCTGCTTTAACTTCTTATGGTTTTAAATTTCAGTGTTATAATCAAAGAGGATGTATAATACCCTCTATCTATTGTATGTTAGAAGTTTAAATTAATGAAATGAAAGTTTGCACAAAAAAAAAAAAATATGTCAGTGCCTCGTTGCAAGACTGCAAGTGGATATTGAAGACATTAAGAAAAAAAAATCATCCCAACTTGGCAACGATTACTACTGCAAATACAAAGATATTCACTTGAGAAGGTGTGGGTTATAATTATCTTTTATATGTCCTGGGCCAGATTGAGATTTAGCCCAAATAGATGGATCCAAGATGAGCCCATTTTAATCATCGCTCTGTCATAAACCACCTACTCATTAGTCACCAACTCACGTGTCGCACATTTCGAAACTACGTGACCGCACGTGATATTGCCACCGTCCGTTTCATTTTTCACATCGTACGAGATGTTTCGAACTATTCAAAACAAAAACAATAACTATCTGCACGCTCTCAAGTTCTCAACTATTTTCTATCTCTATTGGAAAAGTATGGCGGATTGGGGACCTGTGGTGGTCGCTGTGATACTGTTCGTGCTTCTGACTCCGGGACTTCTCTTTCAGATTCCGGCGAGAGGTCGTGTCATTGAATTCGGAAATATGCACACTAGTGGCGCATCGATTCTCGTCCACACCATCATTTACTTTGGTCTCATCACTATCTTCACTATTGCTATTCGTGTTCACATCTATACCGGCTAATTCTACCGTACCGGATTTGTAATTTTTACGGTTGTCTTGTTTACCGTTGTTCTTTAGACCGGTTTGTTTTAAAATTTACTATTGGTCCTCTGGCTTTGTTTATGCTTCGCGGTGTGTAAAAACATCTTTGATTAAGTTTAAATATTCAAAATCTACCATGTTTGATTCTCGGGTTTTGTGGCTCTGTTTGGTTTTCAGTTTAATCTGGTTCTGGGTTTGGGATTTGTTAGTTAGGCATCGTTGCGTTGTTGGTGTGGAAGTTAGTTCGGTTAGAATCCGGTTTTAACGGTTTCTGAATATTCCTGGTTCGGCTTTTCTTCCGTTTAGTCCGGTTCAGTTCGGATGTATAACTGTTGTTGAGTTAGCTTGATATGGTTTTAGTCAGTTCTAGAGAGAGAGATGGAAAACAAATCAGTAGCTATTCTCTTTGTGATATCAGCTACGGCCATTTTTCTTCTAGTATGACAATGTTTAGCCAAGCCCCAACGATTCCTCTTTGATGGCGTAAAATGTTAGGTCATGTCCAAAGTTGCGTGGAAGAAATCTATTTACAAATCAATATTTTATGGCCATTTTCAAAACACTGGATTTAATGACTTGTTGTAAAATATTTTTATCTATAGGTCTAAACTCTTTTTTCTTTTTTAACTGTAAACTCTTGACCCCTTATGTTTCCATTGAACCCATTCTTCCCTCTTCTTCATAAAAACATTTGTGTGCGCTCCATAGCCTCATCAGTAGCACGAATCATCGAACTCTGAGGAGGCAATCCTGGTATCGAACCTGATCTTAATAAATAGCTGAGCGGAAGCTTAGTTAACAAGAACTGTTTCTGTCAAGTATTTCTCTAAGAGCTATAAAGCTCTGATTGCAATTGCGAGTTTGATAATTAATAATAAGGTGAAAGATTACAAAGATTAAAGCTTGGTATTTATGCTAATCTAAAATAGTCTAATCCCAATCCGTAAAGAATGTTTTCTAATTAACTAGTTCTAATAAGAAAAGAAAAACCTAAGACTTGTAACACAATTAAAACAAAAACAGAAAGCCCATGATAATGTCGGATGAAATGATGATGCGCTGCATCAAAAAGCAAAGCTCTGTTTCAACTGTTGTCTTCTCTGTTTTTTTTTTGTTAACACTTTCTATAAGATGATAAAGGTGAAACGTTACATCAACTTGAGTGAGACAACATCAAATATATATTCCCTCTAGGTAGACCAGACAGCAACTCCATTACATCTCTCCTTTAATAAAACTTGCGAACTTCTTCACAAGTTCATGAGCTTTCTCAGTATCAGGATTCTTCAAATGAAAAACATGTTTTTCTCCTTCACTCTCCATCACCTCCACTTCTCCTTTCCAACTACTCCTCTCAAGCTTCTCCGCGTAACACCAATCTTGCCTCACTAGCACATCTAACTCCGCCACCATTACCAAAACCTTTCCGCAACCCAACCCGGAGATATCCACCGACTCTGCTTGAACCACGTTGATCCACGGATCATCCACTCCCTCTTTGCTATTAGGACTCGCTATCTTCCACATAACCTCCGATCTTAACCTTTTTGTCACATCGGTTATATCCTTCTCATCGACTGGTGTCTTGGACCAGAAGTAAGGATGTACCAAGATGATCCCAAAGATTCCTGAACCGCTCAAGCCAGGACTAAGTTTCTCCTTAGCAGCTCTCATCGTCATGTGATGAGTGATGTTCCCGCCGGCACTGTCTCCGGCGAGGAACACTCTGCTGAAGTCAGCGTGTTTGTTTAACCAACTCTCTGGTCCACAACCGGTGACGTGAGTGAATACCCACTTGAGAGACGTCCAAGAATCATCGTAAGCGGTCGGGATGGGATTCTCCGGTGGACGCCGGTAGTTCACTGACACTGCTACGCAGCCGGAGGAAGAGACAGCCGTCGTGAGGAAAGTGTGGTAAGTCGGCGAAAAAGGAGTTTCGATGATGAAGCCTCCGCCGTGGAAGTAGACAAGGAGAGGGAGTTTCTCACCGGTCTCAGCGGCTTTCTCCGGGAGGAAGACACGGACGGAGAGATTGTCGCCGGGAGAATAAACGACGTCTTTTGAGATGACGCCGTTTTGTGGAGTTAGAGAAGGTGAGACGAAGGTTTCACCATCGAGGCGCTCGATGCGGCCACTTTTGTAGATTATGAACCATGGAGAGAAGTCGAAGGCGATCTCTGAATCCATTGTTGTGCGTTGACTGGAATGATAAGATTGAAAGACTTCGATAGTTTATATTGAGTCATTGACCAATGTGTGTGTGTCTCTCTCTAATTTTACTGGAGGATGGTATGTTTCAGACACGTTATCTTTTCTTTTTTTTTTCTGTGCACCAAAGACACGTTATCTGTTTTTAAAGACTAGAATTGAGGCCATGCTATGCATGACATTATTTTTACTTACAAAGAAAACCAGATTTTAATTAGATAGGTAGATAGTGATAGTTTTTTGTATTGTTAAAATTGTGCATAAATTAAGATAACATAATTAAGTATATAAAACACATATTAAAAATATACATAAAATATATTCAGCTACAATTAACTTTTCAATAAAAAAAATGAAAATATAACTTAATTTTTAAAAGTAACAACTAATTTTTTATTTAGATATTATATAATAATTTTATGATGATACATAGTAACTATAGTTCATATGTATTTACACTTTAAAAAAAAATAGTCAATTTTGCAATTGACCAAATTTGACTTTATATATTAATTTTGTGTATGGCAAATATTGTATGCTCTTCCATATCATATGAAGTATATAGTTTAGTTAATTTTAAGTCAGTTTTTTTAACATGTTAGTTGGATCAAACTAAATATCATTGTATTGTAGAATGCATGCAAAATTTATTAAAAAAAAAAATTGGTCAAATACAAAATTGTTTCCTTGCAAATTTCCCACACTGTCTACTTGATTTAGATTTTCAATTCAGTCTGCTATGAAAGAACTAAACATAATTAACCCTTAGGTTCTTGGCACAGGTTCTTAAGATTTTATGTTTATTTGTTTTATTTAATTTTAACTTTTTGTCTGAAAAAAAATCAATCGCGGACCGCGAACAATCCAAAAACCTTGCAAAAGTCACTTTTTATAGAAGGCACATAAGGGACAACTCTTAAAATGATGGTGGGATCTGTAAATTTTTAAATTATTTTTTTCTTAAAAACCATGGTTAATAAGTTGAGGTTCTTAGTGGTAGTTAAAAAACTATTTCATAACTTTTAACTAAAAAAGTTAAGAAACGGTTCTTAAATAAGAAATAGTTTCTTAACTTATGCTAAGAACATGAACATCCCTAGATATAAAGGGGTTTTTTAAAATTGTTTGCGGGTCCCACAAAAATTTAAAATTCAGTTTGAGAAAACTTCAAATAAGACCATGTGCATTAGTGAACCCCCTTTTGGGGTTCAAGTTTTTATTTTTTTATTATTCATTTTTTTGTTTGATTTAAAAATAATAATAATCGAACTAATCGTAGGCCGCTACGTGTCGTTGAGTCCGCGAAAGAGTGATGAGCTCGCCAAAAGAAGGTTCGCTGGAGAGAGAGCTGAGGAGAAACATGTTCTTGGAAAGAAAATTATTTTAATATTTTTTTTCTTGAAAAACATGTGAACTTCTACATTCAACTCTCAATATACATGCTCTAAGGATCACTTGTTGAGGGTTTTTTTACTGTTCGTGAATCCCACTAACACGTGGCAACCTGCAAATAATTGGATTTTTATTTATTTTTATTTTTTAAATCAAACAAAAAAAGATTAAGAAACCTTGTAAAGGTTTATGCGATAAACATGGTCTAATAACCTCAACTTAAGAACCCGGGTTGGTGAAATGCAAAACTAGCCTCATAGTTTTTTCAATAAATTTACCAAAAACAAATTTCAAAAATAAAATATGATCAATTGCAAATCTAACTTTATATTATACTTTCAAATCCATAACCTTGTTTTCAAACTTTATGTAAGATGATAACTTTATCTTGTCATAATTTTATTTGCTGGTTTGATAATCACTGAAAATATTATTGAGACTTAGAGAGACACTCTGGACGAACCAGAGACATCACCTACTTAAATGTCTCCCTTAATAAAGCTTGCGAACTTCTCAACGAGCTCACGAGCTTTCTCAGTATCAGGATCCTTCAAATGAAAAACATGGCTTTCTCCTTCACTCTCCATCACCTCCACTTCTCCTTTCCAACCGCTCCTCTCAAGCTTCGCCGCGTAACACCAATCTTGCCTCACTAACAAATCTAACTCCGCCACCATCACCAAAACCGTCCCGCAACCTAACCCTGAGATATCCACAGACTCTGACTGAACCACGTTGATCAACGGATCATCCACTCCCTCTTTGCTGTTAGGACTCGCTATGTTCCATAACACCTCCGGTCTGTACCTCTTCGTTACATCCGTTGTCTCCTTGTCGTCCACTGGTGTCTTAGACCAGAAGTAAGGATGTACCAAGATGATCCCAAAGATTCCTGAACCGCTCAAGCCGGGACTGAGTTTCTCCTTCGCAGCTTTCATCGTCATGTGGTGAGTGATGTTCCCGCCGGCGCTGTCTCCGGCGAGGAACACTCTGCTAAAATCAGCGTGTTTGTTTAACCAACTATCAGGTCCATGTCCGTCAACGTGGGTGAACACCCATTTGAGAGACGTCCAAGAATCATCGTAAGGAGTCGGAATGGGATGCTCCGGTGGACGCCGGTAATCAACCGACACTGCTATGCAGCCGGAGGCAGAGACAGCCGTCGTGAGGAAAGTGTGGTAAGTTGGTGAGAATGGAGTTTCGATGATGAATGCTCCTCCGTGGAAGTAAATGAGGAGAGGGAGTTTTTCACCTGTCTTGGCGGCTTTCTCCGGGAGGAAAATACGGACAGAGAGATTGTTGTCGGGAGAATAAACGACGTCTTTTGAGACGACGCCGTTTTGTGGAGTTGAAGAAGGTGGGACGAAGGTTTCACCGCTGAGGCGCTCGATGCGGCCATTCTTGAAGATTATGAACAGTGGAGACAAGTCGAAGGCTATCTCTGAATCCATGGTTTTGCGTTGACTGGAATGATAAGATTGAAAGACTTTGATAGTTTATGTGTGGTTTCAATAGTTTGTGTATGTGTGTTGGGTTTATATTGACCAATGGTGTGTGTGTTCTCTCTCTCCAATTATATGGGAGGTTGGTTTGTTTTTAAAGATTCATCTACTCACTGAAAATCAACCATACAAATGTCTATCGTTGGACCAATTCATTAACTAGTTTGGCAATATCACACGATTTAAACAAAACCCTATGATTTTATGTCGTTTCAGTTTAAAGATTGTGAATTTCGGCCTGGAAACCTATCAGCCCATAAAGATGATATAAGGCTTTCGTTGTGAAAATAGCAATCCTCAAAACATGTATTATATCACTTTTAGTCTTTTTAATGCATAAAAGTTATATATATTAGGTTGCTTGGACTTAAATTGTATGTCAATATATTTCGCAGAAAACCATATAAAATTAAGTGTCAATATAAAATTGTACGTCAATATATATAAAAGAAAAATATTTGGATAGAAGCCCATATATTAGCACAAATTTTATATTATATACGGATGGTAATTTAAAAGATATATAAAAATGCAATCTGCGTTCAGTGCGGATAATAAACTAGTTTCATATTGAAATTATAACTGATTTTATGTCGTTTCAGTTTAATAATTGTGATTTTCGGCCCGGAAACCTTTTACCCCGTAAAGATGATCTAATGCTTTCGTTGCGAAAATAGCAATCCTCAAAACTGAGAGCTCATCAAAATTTAAAATCTGAGAGGTGCGAACATAATATCAGTAAGTTTTTGAAGGAAAATGCATGGTCTACCGGGAAAGAGAGTATGAAAATGCAACATATGATTCATTGGATTTACATTTAGAAAACTCTGTTGGCTCAAACGATGGAGATATATTTTCAAGCGACCTATCTTCTAGGGAGGGCTTATCTTACGTTAATGGATGAGAGTCTCTATATTAGAGCTTATCATATGATTTTGTTAATTGGTGAAGAAACATTACCATATAGGACACAGTCTCCACCTAAAGTAGTTGTAAACTCGTGGTATATCTTTAAGAATATTTGTACTCCATACCTACAACATTTACCATATTTGCATTTCATACCTAATTTTCCCACAATTTTTTCCCTCCATCATCACTATTTCCCCACAATATTTAGACATTTTCTTAATTATTACATTCTTTTTGTATTTTCAGCCAATTCACCCTATCTTTAAACTTTAGCGCAACAAGATTGGATGACATTTTGTTTGTACCAAAAGTAAAGAGCTACTTCCACTTTCCTTCAAACACGAATCACAGTTTGTTTATGATAACATTTATAAAACAAGGTTTTATTGAAATAGAAGATAGCTTATTAAAACTTTATTTAGTGAACTGAAAGTAAAGAAAGAGATGAACTTAGAATTGTCTTCAAGAACACAAAGATTTAGGTTGATATCATAAATGTTTAGATAAAGAGGCTGCTTCAATGGCAGCCAAGGTTACATCCAGGGGCGGATCCACTCACACTAGAGTGTGGTCAGCTGAACCCACTAAAATCTCAAAATTTGGTTATATGTATTAAACAAATCATTGACTGAACCCAATAAATTTTCATTTATGAACCCACGTATTTTTTGTTCAAGTCCTTTCCAATTGATTTAGTTACTTTTTTGTTTTTTTAAATATTTGTTTTGCTTACTCCACTTGGTTAATGCTCGTTTAGAGTCATTACGAAAGAGATTTCATTAATGCATTTTGTATAATGCATGACGATTTGTAAAGCTATATTGCATTTAATACTTTTTATATAAACAAAAATAATGCTAACTGATTACTGTATTGCATTTAATACTTTTTTATATAAACAAAAATAAACTGATTGGTTTATTTAATATTTTTAACTTTTTTCAACAATAATTTTTTTAACTACTTCATGAGTAAATAAATATACACATTTTCTTCACTTATAAAAGTATTTACTTAAAATAGAATAGTATTATCAACTCTGTTTCTTAATAGATGACGGTTAACATTGTGCACATAAATTAAGAAAACATTTAATTACTTATATTTTATAAACAAAAACATCATTAATCTTTTATATAACTATGATTCGGCCAATAATAAAATAACTTTGGTCATTTAAATTAACTATTAATAAATTTGATATAAAATTGAACACGTCATCTATTTCAAAAAAACTCCTGAAACCCCAAGTATTAAGAAACCGAAGGAGAACAATTTATTAATAATTATCAAAAAAATAATTATATTCATATTTATTGAGAATTTATAATTTTGTCCTTTTGTTTTATATTTAATATATATATATATATATATAAAATAGGCTGCAATATATAATATCTATAATTACTTGATATTTATTAATATTTAAATATATATATATATATATATATATATAAACGACCCCAGTAAAATAATTTTCTCGATCCGCCACTGGATACATCCATAAAGACGCTAAGGATATATATATATATATATATATATATATATATATATAAGCTTATGACCCTAGTTATATGGTTCAACAAGACTTCTTATTGGATCAGGAGATGGGACTTTCATGTGGTCTTCAATAGTTTAGAGTCATGAGGAACAGAGGAAGTGAGGATGATCAGCTGCAAAGTAAAGGATGAAGAGTAGTGGCTATTTTGAGAAAGTTCACCTTCACCCTTCCTGAGATATGGAAATAAATAAACATCATAGCTTATGAGTTGTGATAGTTTTGTTTTCAAGAAAAGTGGGTCGTCTCTAACCAATGAGCAGGAATTAGATTACGTCATGGCTAATGTTTTAAGGCTTCCTCAGAAGGTCTGTGTCTGACAGTTAGGGGTGGGCACGGATCGGATATCCGGGTTTTTTAAGGTATTTGTGATTTGCTTCGAATGTTACGGATATCTAATTTTGGTATTTGCTTTGCTTCGAAAAAATACGGATATCCAGAAAAACGGATATCCGGAAAATAAATAGATATTTGCGGATATTTACGAATATTTACGGATATCTCATCCATTTTAATTAGTACAAATAATCTTAAGATTTTGATACAAATTTGCTTTGCAAAAATATTTTTTTGCATGATATATAAAATAAAACTTAAAAGAACTAGTGAATTTATAGATTTTGTAATTTTTTAAAGTT